ATCATAAGAGAACTTACTGTTTTTTTTACTTTGACTTTGGCATCTCGTTCAATTTTGTGAATTGTTTTTGTATGCCCAATTGTGTTGTACGTTGTATAGAAGAGATTTGAGAGAAAGTTTTACATTTTTTTTTTTATCATTTCCTTTCTTCCAAATTCCCGCGAACTATATATATCCTTAGTCTATAGATATTCTCTTGCGAGTATAGATACATAAATTCTAATTACTGTACATATAATTCTATACGTTTGATTGATAGAATTCTATATTAATTTAGAGATACATGTATAACTTATTGTTATTTTCATTATTAACTGCTCATGCTTCGGTAACATTATTTTCAATTCGTTCATTTACATGAAATAATTCTTATTTGCAGCGCTCAGTTGTTGTAATGTTGTATTTTAATTATTTATTAATAATAATCAACTTCTGTTATAATTATGTTTAAGGTTTCTTTTTCTTAGTATCAATCTATTAAATTGACGAACCTACACCAGGACAGTTGTAGTATAGTTTATTACATGTTTTGCAGTAGATTACTGAATTATAACGGTTAATTATATTCTGTTAATTTCACAGTAGTGATTACCAAATATAATTTCACCGTAGCCGAACTATATTTGGCGTAAAAATAAAATATTTATCATTAATGAATGTTTTTTCAGCGGAAATGTAGTCAATCATAATAAAAAATGTACGTGATAACTGTAGTTCGTAAATATTTACGAACGTTGTGCTGAAAAACATCTAAAATCTAAAAATAATCATGGAATTATATTTTGCTTCAACATTGTGACGTCATTATTTGATGACGTCATGAAGATAAGAGCATGACGTTACGCGGCAAAAATCAGTAAAATGGTGTAAAATCGTTAAAAAATCATGAAATAAACAGAAAATTTGTTTGTTTTACATGTGAGATCAAATAATATTTCACTCGTGAACCCAAGCTATTATATTTTCACTCGTGGCTACGCCACTCGTGGAAAATATTGCATCTGGTGTTCACTCGGTGAAATATTTTTCAATCTTACACTGAAACAAACAAATATCCTCTATATAATTCTACCCTGTCCCATAATATTATGTTTATCACGATGAACATTTTTTGAGAGGAAAAAATCCTATTCAGTCATGTTAAATATATAGAGGATATTTGTTTGTTTCAGTGAAAGATTGAAAAATATTTCACCGAGTGAACACCAGATGCAATATTTTCCACGAGTGGCGTAGCCACGAGTGAAAATATAATAGCTGGGGTTCACGAGTGAAATATTATTTGATCTTACATGTAAAACAAACAAATTTTCTGTTTATTTCATGATTTTTTTAACGATTTTTACACCATTTTACTGATTTTTGCCGCGTAATGTCATGCTCTTATCTTAATGACGTAATCAAATAATGACGTCACAATGTTGAAGCAAAATATAATTCCATGATTATTTTTAGATTTTAGATGTTTTTCAGCACAACGTTCGTAAATATTTACGAACTACAGTTATCACGTACATTTTTTATTATGATTGACTACATTTCCGCTGAAAAAAACATTCATTAATGATAAATATTTTATTTTTACGCCAAATATAGTTCGGCTACTGTGAAATTATATTTGGTAATCATTACTGTGAAATTATCAGAATATAATTAACCGTTATAATTCAGTAATCTACTGCAAAACATGTAATAAATCATTCTAACACTATCGGAAATTTTCCTCTATAGACAAAGAAGGTCGGAAGCGTGCATTTTTCTACAACAATGCACTCGCCGTTCTTATTATCTCCCTGTGTATTTTCACATTGAGGGCGCCATTTTGTTTATAAAATCTGATAAATAAAAACAATTTTTGTCGAATTTTGTTATGAAAACTATCTAGAATGAATGAAAATGGTGTAACTAAGAAAATGAATCCGATCACCAATATCTTTAATTCAGTCGTTAACTAACGCTGTACAGACGTTTAAAGTGTTCTTTACGTGACGTCACAATGTAGCGCCAAGCAGCACGTGCAAAACAATCAAATCAATTACGCTATTTTAATGTCGCAAACGAGTTAAGTTTTACATTTATTTAACTTTTAATAATTTGTATTTCGCTTGAAAAATTATAGAGTGAAAGAAAATAAACAAACAAAGTTTTATCAACGTTTTCAAAATTTGTTATTCTCAAAATGTTTCTACACACGGTAGATTTAACGACAGTTTTTTTCAACCCTTAAAGAACGTTTCTATGGGAAACTGTGAGGCGAAAACAAATTTAACCACCAACTTTATAATAATAATTATATTTTTTTCTTGACGAGTTTGAATGGACATAGATATTAATTCATCGTGCATTTTTGTATAATAATGCACGTTTTTCGTTCAAATGCTTTGTAATTAATCACTCAGGCCTATCGGCCTTCGTGATTATATTACTACGCATTTGAACTCAAACCGTGCATTATTCTACAACAATGCACTCAGAATTGATATCTACATGTATTTCCTAATTTTATCACACACCCGTGCCGATTTTGCGACTCCGTAAATATGGTATTGCACGGCCGTGCATATATTTTGACGTGACGTCATTAGCGTTATACAAACATAGTGTAAAGACGCGCTAAATGTTAGCGTTATACTATAGACGCGTCATTGAAAAATGACTCTTATTTCACTTTAAACGGTCTTTATTTTGGGTATGTGATATAAATAGAATATTAAATTCGTGTAAGTTCATTACTGAATTTATTGCACTCGTTGAATAAAATAATATTATTCAACTCGTGCAATAAATTCAGTATTGAACTTACACTCATTCAATATCCTCTATTTCTAACCAATTCCAATGTCATATAAATGTATATATAGGCCTATATATATATAAGTGTCAAATGACAATTATTGGCGTCCGCGCCGAAGCGCGGCGCTCTTATGGAATGAGATCAGATTTTGTGAAAGGGCGACAGCAACTTCTCGAGCCTTTTAGTCGGTCATAATAAAAGCCGAAAATTCCGATCGGTATGAGGGTGCTTGATTATTAAATAAGAATGAAATGTCGCGATATGTTACAATGAATTTTCGCAATGCTAACATTTACAAATGAAATAACCTTTTCCGTCAATAAATCGCGCTCTTCGGGGTTTTTTATTTATCATTTTGTAGTACACAGTCGGTTATCATGTCATGGTATGTTATTGTTGTACATGTATCCTAGAATGATCAGTTGATGACCTAAATATTCCAAAAACCTATTTATAGATATATCTTTTTATCAATCCTATCGGTAAATGCCGGTCTCTCCCGGTCTATTTTGACCAGGATTTACTAGTGACCGGCGAATAGTACCACACGTTATATTGTCCGGTCTCTCCCGGTTTTGGAGTAGATGTTTGATATCGTTACAATTAGAAAAAAACAACAATAGCATGTTTCATTTTATCTATATGAGATAAAACAATAAATATGTACACGGATTTATATGTAATATAAATCCGTGTTATGTACAATAATTGAGAAAAAGGTACATTTTTTATGGTATTAAAATGACATTATCAACTTTGAAACATTTTATTTAATTATTCAATTTGTTATCCGTGTTTAGTAAAGATGCCGAGGAATTATTCAAAGTTACAAATTAGATTTTATGAATTATTCAATTGATCGATAATTTAAAAAATGATAAAGAAAAATACAATGTACATGTACATGGTTTAAGAATAAACAATATTATATATTGAAAGATAAACCATAATTTACTGACTTTTTCCAGTTAAGCTTTGACTTATAATCGTCGGTCAATATGACAATTGAATTCTTAAAATTTATTTTACAATTTTAATAAAAAAGAGTAGTAAAAACTCAGTATTAAAATAGCACATAAACACAAAAAAAGAATAAAAGAAAACAATATTCATAAAATTTGTATTTTTTTTAAATTAAAATTAATAGATATTACAATTATTGTATAATAAACAATTATGCTCAACATGATCAACATGGTAATATAACCAGTGTCATATTTTTACTAACTTAAAGTGTGAACAGATACCTTAAGGGGGTCTTCGCTAATAGCGATAACATGTACATAATAAGGGACAAATGTGTGGTACGTGTTGATCATGCGTTACACATATGGATTATAAATGATTGCATACATGTATATCCGTTGCTATTAATAACCACGATCATAAAGAAATAACAAGTAATATTCTAATCTCTAGCATGCCAATCAAAGTTCATAATGAACAATGTCTTTCGTCCGCTCTTTCATAAGTGGTATACATTTCTGGTAGTTTAAAAGAATATCTTGTCATCATATGTGTACTAGTTCATCTTCACTTGCTGCATTTCTTGCTTGGACGCCCTTTGATGCTTTGCATCAATGCTTTTCTTGTAAACCATATTATAACCAGAGACTTTGCAATTGATTACGGACGGCTCTTTGTTATGTACAACGGGTGCTTTATCATCCTCGGAAGTTTTCGCAAGTATCTTATTGCAGTCTTATGTTTTAAACTAAACGCTCACCCCTGAAATAATTATTAGTTTGATACAGTAATGAAAAAAGAAGATAAATAGGCTTAAATAAGTTACAGTATGCTTAGTATGCATGTATATAGCTATTTGTAATTGAAATATTGAGAAATATTTATGAAAATGCGTATTTTCATTTTCCGTATTGTCTTGCCGAATTCTAAATTCAGCCAGTGGGGAATTTTTTCAGATTGCACAATGAGAGAAAAGTTTATTTATAAAATGAGTACTGAATATTCCACATTATCTGCACTTAGCGAAGAATGACGGACTGAGCCGAAATCTTGCGACGGTGGGAACGAAAACCAACGAATCTCTTAAACAGGTGCGTGCATGAATGGATACCAATCAAATTTGCGATCGCTGATGACCTCAGTAATTTTAACCAATCAGATAACATAGCGCAACGTTGTAGTTTACTGAACACAATTCTGTTGAATAAGACCTCTGTTTTGGTCAATTATAAATCTATAAAATGCAACAAATAATCGTTTAAGAAATTATAGAACATCGTAAAAACATACATCAACATCTTTTTTAAATGTATCTATGTTCTTCAAAGAATGCAGCGTGCTCTTTATAAGTTAAATATGATGTTTTAAGACTGACCCATCAACATGGCTATGTTACTATTTTTAGCATATTTGAAAAGCTTCGTGTTTTCAGGGTTTGCAAGTACTTGTTCATGGGCTGTGGTTACACATTCATGGTACTATTTAAGGCCTTGGCACAATTGAATTATTGTCTTTGATCAATTTTTGGCCTAACGTTCATTAAGAAAGGTAAAATCATGTGTTTTTATGCGACAAAATGGCTGAAAATAGACCAAAATGTCGGTCTGATCTCGATGGTTTGTTGAATAAACGTGGCCTATTTAGGGCGTAGTAATGAATGTATGGTATAAGTGCGCGTCCTGTCAGAGCAGTTAAATATATTTCAGAGCGGCTTAATCGTCGTTAATAGCTGCTAGAGATGAACATCAGATAGGTTGTAGCAATATATTAATGACCTAATTTGATCCCATTCAGGGAATTCCAAAATTTGATTGCTTATTAAGTCTACAGCGACCGAATAAACTCATCTATTTAGCCTCGCTTAAAAAATACAACAAATATGGCCGCCATGTTGTTTTTCACACAGAAAATAAAAATTTGGTAAGAATTAAATAATGTCCGTACGTATTTAATTAATTAACTTTGGAAAAGAACGACAGGTTGTCTTAAGTGTATAATAAGTAGGTCAATGTATCTATTTTTGGTAACGTGATATTGAGGGCAGTCCCCATACGATGCCCATTTAAAAATGAAAAGCAATTTTGATAGGTTTGATGAGAATATATATGAAAATATGCCATTAAAATCTGCAGTAAATCGCTGCAGACACACTCAAATTTATCCCATTCAAGTAGAATTTCCGTAAAGAAAACTATTGTACATTATATATTAAATTCATGTGTTAGTTATAATCTTATAAACCCCAACCCATAACACTAACCCTCACCCAAAACATGACGAATTAATAACATTAAATTTTAACTACTCATAAAGCAAATACAATTTACAAATACATACAGATACCCTTACCCATAATGGTAACCAAAGAAGTAATCTGAGAGAAACATAAAATGATAAATACTGACACAATATCATCAAAATTCTTTCTTTCCTAGGAACATACGTCTTTGGAATACCCTTCCTCTAACTGTTCAGTCTAGCCCCAGTTTAAACATCTTTACTGAGAGGCTTGACCCATTCTATAAATTTTAAATTGCACACTACGTCTTTTAAATTAATAGTCTTGTAGTACTTTTATTCTTTTAACTTTTTAATTTGCATATAAATAATTTCTTTTATTAACAGTTCCCTGACAACGCGCCTGCTAGTCATAATCAGAATTGATTGTTAAGCAGTATAATGTAGATGTAGATGTAGAAATAATTTTGTGTAAAATGCTAAAAACGCACATGTAGCTGCGGACATATTCTAAAGTCTAGCCTTATAAAGATGGCTATATTTCAGTTGTTTGTTACTTCTGAACAGAATGCATCCAAAATCAACCATCAACTGAGTTGGATAGATGATGGTTAAATTTAATGTTGGCTTTTATATAAAAATTTGAACAAACTGGTGATAATTGTACCAATCAATAGAGAATAAAATTAGTTACAGTCGCCATAATTATATAATTGTTATAAACAAATTCAGTTATAACAACATTTTTTTAATTACAAAACAAAAATGTCCAAAGATGAAATGACGAATTAATAACATTAAATGTTAACTACTCATAAAGCAAATACAATTTACAAATACATACAAATAATTTCTTTTTTGATATATAGCTAATTCAGCTCAACTTGACGTAAAAATGAGCAGAATGTCTCTTAAATGAAAGTTTAATCATTGTAATGAGCATTTATTAAAAAAGTTGTGTTGTTCAAATTTTGATATTTCAAAATAGATAAAATTAAAGTTAAACATGACATGTTTACAGTATATAACAGAAACATACAAACTATTGCAATTTATAAAATGAAATATATAAGTCATAAAGCCTTGCACAAGTTACTTTCTCAGAATTTGTTGATGATATTACATGTAAAGGTTTTAGAAATAAGATAATTAATAGATTCAAGTTTATTAGTATCATCGAAAAAACAGTTCACTTTGGAATGTCTCTGAATAGTTGATGGTAATCAATTTCTATAATTTTTTATTCACACATTTTACTTAGCAATTTTCTGTATTCAGTCCATTTTATTTAGCTATCTCTGCTGTTAATTGTGCACACTGATTTATAATTAGAAATTTAAAACATGACATCAATAAATCCAGGAACATATAATTCATGACATTATTATGTTTAAAATTTATACAACCCTTATGAATCGAACAGTCTTCCTGGGGTCATGTACATATGTTTTAAATTCACACATGTATGTTCAACTCGATCTCAATAAGTTTAATTTAATGATTCATAAGACTAAGATAGACTATTTGACATTTAAGTGATGGTAATATTGATCTCAGATTTAAAATTAAGATATAGAAGTATTTAATTTGACAAAAAACTATGGTTTGCCTTGTCTTGAGTCATAGTATGCCCTGTCCCAAAACAGTCTGCTCTGCCTTGATAAACTGTTTGCCTTGGTTTGGTCAGTCCTGTTTCACAGTCCACTCCGTCCTACAGTACGAATCTACTTAGTGGTTGAAATTGTATTTTGAATCTTGGCACTTTATACATATGGTACACTGATTTAAGGGGATAGTGTTTATTATAATGACAATACAATAAATCAGTTGATTTATTAACACTGTTTACCTTGTTTCCATAGATAAAAAATATCGCAGATTACCATAGATAAAAATATCGCAGATTATGTTACAGATGGTATCTAATTCTATCATTTTTGTTAGCAAAAGTTCTACCAGTTAATTTTATAAGTTAGTAACTTCTTGGTCAGTTCTACCTCTCAAGCTCTGCCTAGTATATAGGCAGCAAAGATCTGATCAGCAAAATCTCAGACAGAAAATTTCATTGGCCATTGATTTTAAGCACATTTAAGTGGCACATTTTGTTTTGTATACTAAATTTTTCAGACAAATTGCAAAATCCCCCCCCCCCCCCCCCCCATTAAGGCTAATTTTTCCTCCCTCAAATTTGCATTCAAGCTCCTCCCTATGCAGTGCTCTTGTTATAATGAGAGCTATGGTTTTATGGAATGATGCTTTCTTTTTGGACTATTGACACACAATCTTAACTCAGGTGAACCTTAAAAGAGATAAGATGGCCCACTTCAATGTTGTGATTTATTATTGTTTGTTTCATAAAATATTTCATTTCTTTTCAGAAAATACCAGTTTATATGGAAACTCTAATCCGGCAATGTATGAAGGGAAAAATATCCATTATTCACCATCATCAGACCAGAAGCCTTTATGTTCATTCAGTGGTAAAATATGTAATCAGAGACGTCTGAATCATTTTGGATTCTGTGTGCGACATATTCTTGAAGACCCAACTGCACCTTTTAAAAGATGTGCTTATGTTGCAAAGTCAAGTAGACAGACATGTACACAGCCAATACCGAAAAATGAAGACAGAGAGTAAGTAAATGCAGATAGATAAGTACATATATATATTATTAATATTCCTTTATTGGTTTTACATTTGTAAGAGGACATTCAGTAGCTCTGGCCACTGTCTGTTCAGAAATCTTTATCATGGGATTACTGAAAAAAAGTGTGCATTTGATTGATGAACCTCAATTTGTAAAAAGACATCTATCTGGAAATTGTGTACTGTCCTACTTTCCATGACTCATCTGCATCCAAATTTCTGATCATCATTTCAGTATTTGTACTTGAATTTCTGTAAAATATTTTTGATTTAACGTTTTCCATTGTTGAGGTATTAACTTCAATCATCATACATATGTGGTAAGGTTAATAACCCTATTGCTTGTATTTTCAGAATTATATCCTCTGTAAATTAAAAATCTTCCTTATGAAAAATGTCATGTTTTACTATAGATTACTTCTTAATTTCACGTTGGAATCACTTCTGACTTAAGATCACACCAACATTGTATTTTACAAGTTTTATAACTCGAACAAACCCATGTTTACAGAATTATCACTCCTTTATATTTAGAATTTTCTTTAAAAATTGTTATATTTTGCATTCAGTCATTTACATCTTCATTTCCTTAGGGATTTACAATTTAAATTTCAAAAAGATGTTCCTTATCATCACCCACATCATGTAAGATTTTGTTTAAAACTGAAGTACCCATATCTTAAAAATTATTGAACCTAGAATTTTATTTTAAAATTCTATTTCACTTTACATCTATCTTTTTTGTAAATTAATGGATTTTCTTCAGACTTAAGCTTATTCTCACCCACATCACATGATCCACATCATCAATTCATAGCTTTTGTCTTAAACGACCACTTTAAGTTCCCCCCGATCATTTTCTCTCTATATTTTTAATGTATTAAGCGACTTTTGCTCAACACCAGCACTGCTAATTAGTCACCTAATTGAGAGCAATCTTTTCATTAAACGACCACTTTAACCTGTCAAGTACTTGTGCTTTTAGATAACGCCGCCTCGTAAGTGTCAACAATCAAAACACAACAAATAAATGTGTAAAAAACTCTATTTCCCAAACCGTTTTAGCGTAAGCAAATGAAGTTAGGTATACGCAGGGCCAAAAAACCCTTCTTTGTAGAGGCCGAATATAGGCTGCTTCCCCAACCAAACTAGCCTCTTTTTTCCCCCCCAGTTTGGTCCTCCAAATTCCCCTTCTTTTGAAATTTCCCATAGAATTTAGAACAAAATTAAATCATGGTGTTGAATTAAGGTCTTTTACTGCCTTATTAGTATATCCCAGTGCTTTTTGCTTTTCTATTTTGAAGAACTTGTTAAAAGTTTGTGTTAAATTTGACACCCCTTTTCCCAAGATATGCCAAAATTACGAATATTTTCCCCAAGAAAAAGGCTGAGGCCCCTTCCCCAAAAATGATGTTTTGGCCCTGATACGCGTGACATGTATTATCCAATAATATTGGTTAAACAATGCAACGCTCCGCCCCTACTGATGTGGTGTTGACATTAAGACTGCATTGAATTGACCTTGAACTTGATCAGCAATTAAATTAGATGTAGTTTGTTTATTTGAATGAAAAATGCACAACAGAAAAACATCTTCACTAATAGGGTTTTCGTGTTGGAGACAAGGAAAAACAACAGAGAAGTTGAAAAATTCTGGAAAAAATGTCAAACATGTACGTAATGGATCAAAACTGTTTTGTCAATAAAATAACAGCAAGTTATTTTTACATTGGCATCCATTTAGATTATCGAGTGTACTAATTATTCAACATTCATATAAAAATGAAGTTGTTAAACATTCCCACCGCATAAGAAAGATGTCATTTGTAAATTTTGACTTTTATGTCATGCTTTGTCTTAAGAGACCATTTCATTAAGTGACCGTTTTTGGTGTTTCCCTTATGCGGTCGCTTAATACAAGTTTGACTGTACTACATTGATATTTCATTACAGTTTTGTATAAATGACTGCACATTTTAGATTATCGTAATACCCCTTTGCTGACTTTATAGCATTAATCAGTAGGACCTTCAAAGTTTCACAAAAATTGGATATTGTGACTAGTGAACAATTTCATTTTATAAATATAAATTGATGTGTTATATATTTTCAGATATTGTAACAACCATATGCAAGTGCTGGGAATGTTGCCTAAGAAAGAACGGAAACCAAAGAAAGAGAAAGAAAGACCAGGTTCATTGTCAAATCAAATTCATCTTGGTGCTAAATCAGACCCTGGTCTTCTTCAGAACAAAATAAGACCAAGGCTGTCTGTCAGTGGCATAAAATCAAAGCTAATGTCAAATAAACTATCATCTGGAGGGGAAGATATGGATGATGTATATGCATTCCCCACAGATAGTACAGAAAGGAAAGTGAAAGATCTTACAGTTATGATTTCTAATGTTGCATTACCAACTGTGTCTGTAACTGTTACACCAGTGAACAGTGCTTCTGTGACTAAACCCTCAGTTGATGCTGGTCAGTCTTCTTTAGCTAAGATTTACCCAGAGCTGGCAGAAAAGCTGGAGAAAGTTAAACCCAAAGTTGAAACAAAAACAAAAGGGAAAGTCAAAAGTTCACGAACTATGAATAGCTTGCAAACAAAAATTGCACAAAATAAAATTAAGGATAAATTAAGGAGGAATCAGTGTTCATCAAATACATCTTCTCAGTCACAGTCACCTTGCCACAGTTTCACAAGTTCACCAGGTTATCAAATAAATTCAAGTTCTCCAAATCATCTCTCTCATTCTCCAGCTAATTTAGCTCCACCCAATGTAACTGTGATACAAGATGGAACAAATTCTATTTCTAACTTATCTGCAGCAGTAGGATCATCAAATACAGCTCCAGTATCTAGTCTTAGACATTTGAATCTTTTAAATGGTCTGAATCTACAGACATTGAATATGAGTTTAGAGCAGCTAGGTTTACCTGTTCCCACTGTAAGTGACATTGAACAAACTTTGAAACAGCTAGCTTCTGCAGCTAATATTCCTGTGGAAGATAGTCAAGCATTTAGTAATGAAACTGGACTTTCTACTGTTGTACCTGAACCACATGTAGGGGCTATATTGCAACCAGAATTACAACATTTACTGGCGCAAACTTTCACTCCACAGTCTAAACCACCACCACCATATTCTAGTGTTCATCATAAACCAACAAGAGAGTTGCTTCAGACTGTACCAGTCTCTAATGTATCAAATACAGTCACACAAACTGGACAAGTCAATAAACAGGTCATGAAAAGTGACTGTGTCACTGTACATCAAATAAGACCTGTTACAACATCAGAATCTTCATCAGTTTCACAAGTTCCTATTGTGAAGAAACAGTTTGTACCTGATGCATCACTAAGTGGTGATAAGGTAGTATCAACTTCAACAACAGCATTATTGTCATCATCTTCATCAATTGCAGCTTCCTTATCATCACCATTACTTCAGTTTCCTGGACATTCTAAACTTACTTTACTCAAATCTTCACAGACAACCCCAAGTGTTTCATTGAAAGTTGCTGAATCTACTAAGCAGATTTTGAATTTGACTGGTTTTCAGCAACCAAAATCAAAACTCACAAAACCTAGAGGGAAATTTCGTATAAATTCATCTGGATCATCTAAACGTCCAGTTCCATTATTTTCTCTGCCAATGACAGTTGTTAAACCAAGGAAAATTCCTAAGCTTTTAGATGATGAAGACATAAAAAAGTTGAAATCTAAAAGTGCAATAGAATACTACAATAAAAGTAAAGAGAAGAGGATTGAGAGACACACTATGATTTGTTCTAGTAAGTTCTACCTTGCCTTTATTTTAATGGGTGTAGTTGGAATGTAGAAGTTGGTGCTATATACTTGCTAGGTCTTAAATATTCTATGTCTTACAATACTTGTTATGTAAAGATACCATGTAAAATTTTTGCTTTGGCAGTTGCCTGTGAAGTGCAAAATATCAATTGATGTGTGACATTTGTACTGGGCCAAATCATGTCATACACTGTACTTTCTGGAAACTTCTATAATTAAATGGACATGCTATTGGGTGTTTGAATTGGAAAAATTAGACCTTTTTTTCATTTGTTTCATGATGTTACCTGATTTGATTTTTTTAAACTGTTTGCAGATGTTGCAAGCTCTGATGAGAGTGAATTATCTGACTGTGATATGTTACCATGGCAACCAGATTGGTTCAGGGCGTCTTCTGATGAAGAAATTGCAGAAGATGAAGAAGAGTAAGTCAGAATGAAATATTTAATTTAAAGTGTTTAAGCTATATATTTGTTGTCTGTGGATTGTAATGCATTGCTTTGTGCTGAAAATGGCCAGTAATGGTGTAACTTTGTTTACATATACCTATATTATTATAGTATAAAATAAAAATCTAAAATCTCATCAGAAATTATAATACCAAGAGATTTGATATTTTGAATTGTGGCACTCTACAAAAGTGATTTAATCTTTACTATCGGGCTAAAGGTTGCCTTGTTACAGGGGTCACTAACTTTAAATAGACCTATTTTGGAAAGAAACTACATAGCCTAGAGCTTAAATAATTAGCATTTAGTGTTGTTGAGTGGAACTCTACTAAGAATCCTGACCCTATTCTCTAAAATGACTTTACCCCAGTGTGACTAAATGACTATTTCTCCATTGTAAGAATTAAAAAAAAAGGAGAATTACAAAAAATAAAATAAAAAAAATTTACCTTTTCTAGCATTGGATTTCAGCTCTTGTATACTTTTAAAGTGTCCTCAGCATTTGTATACTTTAAAGTGTATACTTTAATTGTATATTTCTTGTATACTTAAATATTTCTAAATCAAATACACATATAACGAGTTTCATTTGATTTGGAGTTAAATGTTTAAATATAATTATTTGAAGGGTCACAAGAAAGCTAGGCCAATATAGGCAGATACTTTAGATATCAGTTAGATGCCATGCATCATCCACAGTTTATTTAAACAACATCTTCAAATTCACAGTCCACATGGTAGCGGACTGTCTCAGAAGAAGTTAATTTTCATAGATTTTATAGTAATACAAGTTTTAACTATATTTCCTAAAGCTTATATATTTGGCATGTATCATTGCCTAATTGACATTTACTTAAATTGTATGAATTATGTGAAAAGTGGCCCTACCCCAATCTGAACCCAGTGACCTTCTGCTTTGAAGAATTTTCACCTTTTCTAGTTACTGATTTCAGGTGATTTATCAAGGTCCATCATGCTATATAAAAAATTATCACATTTGGAGATTTTTGTAAAAATAATTATTCTGTTACTATAAAATTAATTGTTGTGATAAATAGTATTGATATATATTTGATTTTATTTTGAATTATTTAAGAAGTGATGATGGTTTACGAACAGCAAAACTTGCTCTTGGTCGGGCAAGATTACGGAGACAGTGTTCACAAGCTAGACGATCAAGTGTAATAAATGAAAACAAATTTACGAGAACAAAATGTCTTATTTCTGCAGCACGAGAATCTCAAAAATCTGCAGTTGAATGTTTACAAGAGATTTATCATGATAAATCTAAAACTTCTGAGAGGTAAAATTGATCTTTTTCAACTTAGTTTCATGAAGTTTTGTTTATTCAGTTAAAATGTAAACTTTTGTGTTATAGATTATATTTCTGATCTGCCTATAGTCACATATTTAATACTCTTTTTGCATGATATATTTATATTTGAGAACAGAACTGATCGTTATCACAGACTTGTGTGTATTATTATCCGTCATCAGTGTCCTGTTGACACATTTCTAATTTCTACTTGAAACTTTGTAACACCAAGGATGAGCCATAAGGATTGGCCATTTTTCTGTCATCAAAACTTTGGGTTTGTTAACTTAAAGTAAGTGGGACAACCAACTTCATTATATATAGAATTGAATATTGAAGCTTGCTCAGAATGTCTGTCTTGATAAAAGAAAAAACCTTTTGTTTCCATCATATGTGGAACATGGCTGATCTTCTGTGATATGCGGTCAAAAAGTAAATCAACACTAAGGTCAAATCAAGGAAAGACCTTGTTATTTCTTTAGAAACTGCTTAATTAAATAAGAATTTTGGTAGTTTTATGTTAACAACTTAGAAATATCTTGCTCTTCATGTGTTCATAGGTTCATACTTACACTCTAATGAACTTGAGATATAAGGTAGCTAAAGGTTTCGTGCAGCTAAGTGATATAAGAGCATCATGGCCCACATGTCATGTTCCCTCACTACCTTAGATTATAGCAGAATCTGTTGTAGACAAACATCTTGGTAATAAGATTCAAAACTAATAAAATTCTGATGTTTCAGATCGAAAAGTAAAGGTTTAGTAAAAAGAAGATGCCTGTACCTGGATGAAAATGAAGCTCAGTGTAAACACAACGTTGTGCCATACACAAACCATTGTATTAAACGTATCCTTTTAGCATGGAAAATATTTTAACTTAAATATATACTGTCAACTCTTGTTATCTGGATTTTTTATTTTTAAAAGTTTACTATTTTTTCTTCACCTTATATTAATTAAAGACAATAAAATTCAAGATTTCAAATCTATATTCAATGTTTTTTTTTTGATAAATGGGTTTATGACCTTAACTTTGTATAAGATGTGATGTACAATGTAGACCAGCAGTTATTTGAGTATTGTACAGCAAAATTTGCTGATAACACTCAGTGCTGTCATCCTGTTGTAGATACCAAACATGAGCTGCCTCTGTGTATGGAACATGGTGTTAAAGCTGTAAGTCTATCTTTCTTCTCCTGAACTTTGGTGATATCAGTGTTGATTATTTAAAGTTAAATTTGCATGCCTCACTACACTTGAATTGTATTTCAATTCTTCATATCATGCTTCAAATAAATGACCAAATGACAGCAATGTGTAAAACAAATAACATTTTAATTATCCCCCGCCGATGGAATCGGGAAGGGGATATAGTTTTGGCGTTGTCAGTCCGTCCGTCCGAATTTCGTTTCTGTAGTAGTTCTCTGCAACTACTGGCTGGAATTCAACGAAACTTTATGGGAATCATCAATATCAAGAGGAGATGCGCATCTGTCCGTCCGTTCATAAGTCCGTCCATCCGTCGTCCGAATTTCGTTTCCGGAGTAGTTCTCTGCAACTACTGGCTGGAATTCAACAAAACTTTATGGGAATCATCAATATCGAGAGGAGATGCGCATATCGTCAGCTTGTTCTGGTCAGACCCTTTAACTCAGAGTTAATGCCCTTGATAAGTTATGTAGAATGCATATAGATTAAAATTTTGTTTCCGGAGTAGTTCTCTGCAACTACTGGCTGGAATTCAACAAAACTTTAGGGGAATCATCAATATCAAGAGGAGATGCGCATATCGTCGGCTTGTTCTGGTCAGACACTTTAACTCAGAGTTATGGCCCTTGCTTAGTTATGTAGTATGCATATAGAGTAAAAATCGTTTCCGGAGTAGTTCTCTGCAACTACTGGCTGGAATTCAACGAAACTTTATGGGAATCATCAATATCAAGAGGAGATGCGCATATCGTCGGCTTGTTCCGGTCAGACCCTTTAACTCAGAGTTTTGCCCTTGATTAGTTATGTAGTATGCATATAGAGTAAAAATCATTTCCACACTACTTCTCTGCAACTACTGGCTGGAATTCAACGAAACTTTATGGGAACCTTCAATACCAAGAGGAGATGCGCATATCGTCCGCTTGTTCCGGTCAGACACTTTAACTCAGAGTTATGGCCCTTGATTAGTTATGCAGTATCCATATAGAAAAATATTTGTTTCCTCGCTACTTCTCTGCTACTACTGGCTGGAATTCAATGAAACTTTATGGGATACTAAGAGGAGATGTGCATATAGTCGCATTGTTCCAGTCAGATACTTATAACTCAGATTTATGGCCCTTGATTAGTTATGTAGTATGCATACATCTCATTGGCATTTCCAGATTTTACTATTTAACACAAAGTTATGGCCCTGTTATTGCCCTGAATATTTATCAAGTTCAAAGAATATTACTGTTTATGCCATGATTAATATATAAATAAAGCCTTATGTCTTCAGTTGTTGTGTTAATAATAACCAGTACTCGGCGGGGGATATAATTCAACGAATTTGCTTGTTTTATTATATTTCCAAGAGTGCCATTTACTATAAGAGCTCTTTTATTATCTTGACACTGCTCAACTTTGTTGGCCTTTCATAAATGTTTACATATAGTGTAACTTGTTACAACTTTGATTGGAAAATTAAAATCTTTCGATACTATTATCAGAGCAATGTTACTCACTTTTTGAGAGAGTCAAATTATTGTTATATGCCTTTTTTGGCCCAAAACTTCCTTTTATACATTTTCAAGCCCACATCTATCGGGGCACATTGGAGAGAGTATGATTTACAAACTGCAATAGTTCTAGTTCATGAAAAAAACAAAAAAAACAGCATTTTTTTTCCTCTTATTTATTTTGTGTTTTATTGTATTTTTCCTTTCAGGACAATTTCTTGAAAACTCAAGAACTTGAGCCAAAGCCAAAACGCCCAAGAAAGAAAACGAAGCCATCAGCTTTGACAAGACCGCCAAAAAAGGGTAAAAAGAAAAGAAATCAAAGGAAAACTGTCCGTCCAGAAAAACCTTTACCTTTTGATTCTGAGGATCAAGGTAATGCTTTATATTCTATGGTTTGATAAAATATCATCTGAATTCTTATAGCTATTGTATTGTATTACCCTCACCAAACATAGATATTAGATATTTCATCATTTCTGTGTAAACAACTGTGTTCTGTCATATCCCATCCTGATTATTTTTTATGCATCAGAAGAGTAACAAATAGTTTCTTAACTGTCTGTCTGTGGCTGTACATCTCTGCTTGTTGTTTAGGCCATTACTTTGTTATTCACTGATGAATTTTGAAATAATTTTGCATATGCGTAACACACATTGAGATGATATATGCAAGAGCCAGGTGTATAGGTTAATTGTCAAGGTTACAGTACACTAACTTGAAAAAGGATTTTTTTCATAAAAGTGCATTGATAGTCATTTTCAGTCAAAAAAATCCTGGATGAATTTTAAGATATTTTTTGCATATATAGAATAGACATTATTATAATAAGTGAATCAGGTCTCCCACTCACCTTGCAATGGGTCATAAAACAGAGCTTACTTAAAGTATAATGACTGTGTATGAAATCACTAATGATATTGAATGGTAAACAAAACAATCTTGACAAGATGATTTTGTCCTATAAACCACTGCATTTCTGTTGTTATTAGGTAAATGCAACATAAAAGAACAATTGAGCCACATCGCGACAAAACCAACATAGTGTGTTTGGGACCAGCATGGATCCAGACCAGCCTGCGCAGTCTGATCAGGATCCATGCTGTTCGCTATCAGTTTCTATACTTGTTATAGGGTTTGTAAGCGAACAGCATGGATCCTGATCAGACTGCGCGGATGTGCAGGCTGGTCTGGATCCATGCTGGTCGCAAACGCATTATGTTGGTTTTGTCATGGCGCGGCTCAATTATTTTTATTACATTTTTCAGAGGCAGTTGAGAGTGAGACAGAGGAGGTATCATGTCAGCCTACATCTGAGATGAATGTTGACTCAGACTCTGATAAAGCTGAATCACAATCTTCAAATACTGATGTAAATGAGAAACCATGCATACCAGCAGTTAACAAGTTAGAATTAGATACCAACAAACCATCTCCTAAAGTTGTAAAAGATGGGGTTAAACTAGACACTGTTGTGATAAAGGAACAGAGAAAATTATCATCAACAATGCAGCTGGAGGAACTAGACAATCTCGCAACTTTATCAGGTTTATATATTTACTTCTCTAAAGGGTAGTAATTGAACAATCTGTTCAGTTTAGATTAACATTTTACAGCAAGCCACTTAATGAACACTGACTTTGAAAAACAGGGAAGATGGGCAAAAAGAAAAAAGCCAGCAGGAAATATAAGAGAATTTAATTTTTTTTTTTTAAATCAGAGAATTTAAGGGACTTGAAGTAAATCTGAAAATTTTGATCTGAAGAAGAAAAAAAACAACATAGTTTTTCTTGAATAGTTCCTTTCTTATATTTGAAATACATTTTTCAGTATCAGAATGCATTTGTTTTCATATTTTTTTTTTCTGGAAAATACCACTTTGTTTGATCGTTTTTATGATTATACAGATATATATTTTTGCCAAATGGTAAATCTGGCTTTTTAAGAGGTGTTACTAACCTTATCGGACTGTGTAAATCCTGCAAAGATTTTTCAGTGAAAATTTTGATAAAAGCTAAAAAATTGGACACATTTCATCAAATTGTTTATAAAATTGAGTGTGGTCGAGTGGCAATCAGCCACTTGCCCCTCACAGCTGTGGGCTCAAATCATGCCAAGAAAGCTATCCAGCTGGTTTAAAGAACATACATGGTTCTTCTCAGGTGCCTGCTAGCAGTCATTGAATTTAGCACTGGCCTGGTTGCCCACGGCCAGTGAAAATTAGTTTGGCCAGTGTAAATTTTAAGAAAATTTAGTTAAATATATAGTAGAATAAATTCAAAACTGGAATTTGGGACAGTAAATTAAAAATCTTAAATTCAATGACTGTGCTAGTGCCAGAAATAATGCATGGAAGGGCATCTGAGGTATTCCTTCACCAGTATAGCTAGAAAATTACCATATATACTACTATTTATGTTAAAAACCAAACCAAAAATACAAAATAAATAAAACCAATGATTGTCAGGAAATGTTTAGTTCATATAAGTGAAGGTCTATCTTATTTATGGCCAGTTAACAGATCCCTGCCCATAGATATTATTGACCATATTCTAAATATAATTTCTTGAAATCAAAGTAAAGATGTCATGTGTGCTGTAAATTTAGAGGTATAGATTAAGGGCTGGATATAAGCAAGGTTTTGGCAATAAGATTTTCAGGGGAAAAAACACATTTTTTTGTCAGGGAAAATTTGATAATGTTCAGAGTTTCTTTGTTTGAAAAAAATTTGGCCACCTTAAGTTGAATTTCTCTTTAGTAAAACGGTTGTTATTAAAATTTTCTGAGGTGGCCATTTTTGGTTTTATCACATGCATCAACAAATGTTTTCTAAGTTTCAAGGGGAACCAAAATACATTTGAGTATTCTGCCTAACTAATAACAACCCTGAAGTTAATCAGTAACTTTAAACTTTACAAACTAGCTTACAATTTAAATAAATGACATGATCTTATGAAATTACATTTGTCTCTCACCACATTCAAGAATCATGAGACTGTAGAATTAGTAGTTGGTCACTTGCTGAGAAATCTGTAATTTCTGATTATTTATTCATGAAAGTTGGTTAAGTGTACTTATCGCCACAATAATTCCAAAAACGTGTTAAAAAGAGCATAAAAATCAGACAAACATAAAACAGGATCTTAAATTAACCAATTTTGATGAAAAAATAATGATTTTATGTTTTAAGTGTGTTTATATTTATGATTTGATGAGATGGAGCCTTTGTCAAATTATGCCTTCTGTTCTTAACACGTTTTTATGCCCCCACCATATAATGGCTGGGGCATACAGTGTTACCCTGTTCCGTCATTCTGTCATTCCGTCATCATCAGTTTCTGCTCATTATCTTAGTAACGGTTGCACACATTCAACTAAACTTTGACATTTGGATATATCATGAGAAAATACAGGTCAAGTTCGAATTTGGTCATGGTTCGATGATTTTTTGCAGAGTTATACCCCTTTCACTTTGAAAATAATATGAAATTTTCAGTTTCCGTTCAATATCTCTCCAAAGGTATTACACATTCAACTCAAATTTTACACATGGATACGTCAAAGGAATGCCCAGGTCAAATTTGAATTTATTCATGGTTTGATGATTTTTGGCAGAGTTATGCCCCTTTTACTTTGAAAATAATATGAAATTTTCAGTTTCTATTCATTATCTCTCCAACAGTTTTACACATTCAACTCAAATTTGACATATGGATACGTCAAAGGAAGTCGCTGGTAAAGTTCGAATTTATTCATGGTTTGATGATTTTTGGCAGAGTTATGCCCCTTTCACTTTGAAAATAATATGAAATTTTCAGTTTCCTTTCATTATCTACCAAACGGTATTACACATTTAACTCAAATTTAATATATGGATATGTCAAAGAAATGTGCAGGTCACTGCCAAATTTGGTCATAGTTTGATGGTTTTTGGCAGAGTTATGCCCCTTTCACTTTGAAAATAAAATGACATTTTTAGTTTCCGTTCATTATCTCCCCAACGATATTACACATTCAACTCAAATTTGGTCATTTGGATATGTCAAAGGAATGTGCTGTTCAAGTTCGAATTTGGTCATGGTTTGATGATTTTTGGCAGAGTAATGCCCCTTTCACATTGAAAATAATATGAAATTTTCAGTTTTTGTTCATTATCTCCCCAATGGTATTACACATTCAACTAAATTTGACATATGGAGACGTCAAAAGAATGCGCAAGTCAAGTTTTAATGTGGTCATGGTTCGATGATTTTTGGCAGAGTTATGCCCCTTTCACTTTGAAAAAAAAAGGAAATTTTCAGTTTCCGTTCATTATCTCCCCAACAGTTGTACATATTCAACTCAAATTTAACATATGGATATGTCATAAGAATACACTGGTCAAGTTTGAATTTGGTCATGGTTTGATGATAGCTGACAGAGGTATCCCTCTTGAACTTTGAAAAAAATCAGAAATTTTTAGTTTCCGTTCATTATCTCCCCAATGGTTGTACACATTCAACTCAAATTTGACATATACATACATCTTAGGAATAAGCAGTTCAAGTTCGAATTTGGTCGTGGTTCAATGATTTTGGACAAAGTTATCTCTCTTGAATGTTGGAAAAATGTTGAATTTTTAGTTTCAGCAGTCATACTTTTGTAGAAATGTATGTAGTCATTATTTTGGCTACAAATATGCAGTATGCAATTTACAAAAGGTTAACACTGAATAGTTTCTGTACCTTGAACTTTGTATAAAACGGTTTGTGTTTGCATTGAATAGTTTTAGGGGCTTTGAACTTAAAATGAAAAAAATAGTTTGTGCAAACAAATTTGGAACTAAATATTGTAACATCTGAAATTTTGGCTGAATGCGGGGGCATCCGTGGCATGACGACACATTTCTAGTTTTTTACCTATTTTAAATCATATATTTTTGATAAATGATAAAGTAAGCAGAATTTTTATATACTTCCAGAATTAGAAAATGTGAAAATGTTTGGAGATTTGGACACAACAGCTTCTAAGCTACTGGAGGAGAATGATTTTCAGGAGGTTTTCAGTAGGCTGCCAGATGTTGCTTTTGACATATTTAACAGTAAGTTTAATATTAGGTTATCGGAATAATCACATTTCACCCTTCTATAAACTCAGTCAAGCACATACAGCTCAGAAGTGAACTTTTGTGATTATATGATGTTTGTGCTCTATGTAACATTAGCTTACATATTTGACATGTAGCATTACTGTTTGGTCTTTTACTGAAATTTTATAAATCTTGACCCTTGGGTCAAAATTGGCCCAGCCCTATGGGTCCCTTTTTGAATGTAGACATGTATAAGAAAGCACATTTAAAGCTTGTGGAAAGCTGCAATGCCTGAAACTTGGATATTTGGCATGTAGCTCATTTGAAAGTGGACTTCTACAAGTGAAATTAATATCATGTAACTGGGGTCAAAAAAAGACACATTCAATTTGTTCTAATTATAGTAACTATTTCTCACATTTAATCTTGGTGAGTGATGTTGTAGAAACTTGCCTTAAAATAATCTGATAAGATACCTTCATTGTATTCAGACTGAAGAGTCAGATATTTTCAATGCTTAATTTGCATTTATATATTGCAATGTCAACTTCAGGTAAAAACAGCGGACTGCCAGGCACAGATGAACTTCAAGATTTTGAGGAGTCATTGGTTTTGGCCAACAGAGAACTGAAAATAACAAAAGACCCTAATGTGTCTGCTATTAACCTACCTGTAACAGCTATGCAGCCTGAACAAACCCAGACATCAGTGATACCACACTATTCCAAATCTCCTCAAGGAACTTCACAATCAAATCAGAAAGATGCACAGTCTCAGATGGTCTTTCCACCTTTATATACCCAGACTCATATAGCTCAACAATCTCAGAATGCCTACCCTCATGTTTCTAACCAGCCTCAAACCTCAGTTGCACCTATATTAGAGGAAAGTGATGATCTAGCAAGACAAATTGCTGAGGAAATCATGAAACAAAACATTGGTCCTAGTAATAGTATTGGTGAAGCTTTATGTAATGGTGATGCTGAAGAAAGTATAAAAGCTATTGCCAGGAGTCTGTCTAATTCTGGAATGATGCTTGCAGCAGAAACTAAAAGTAAATCTCAGTCTCAGGAAGTGTCATCCACAAACCAGTCCATCCAAAGTCTTTCACGGCCTCAGTCTGTGCATTTAGAATCTATGTACTACCAGCCTAATGTTGCCATGCAAAGTTCACAGTTATCAGGAAGCCAGCAAGGAGCAGGACTTGTATCTACTTGTGTTATGTCTAAACCTCCAGGACAAATAACTCAGAGTCAAGTCTCTTTTGCTGGACAAGTACCTAGTAATTTAGTTCCACAGAATGTTACAGTTACACCTCAAGGCATCATTACCCCTCATTTAGGCTCAGCTAGACTTGGCCCTGGTTCCCAGACTGTAACAATTGGCAACACAACAGTGACTGGAAACCAGACTGCAGGTATTATTACTCTTCCAGTCCAGCAACAATTGACAGCACAGCAATTATCTGCCCTTGTTCAACAAGCAACAGCCCATCTTCCACCATTACCTCCATATACACCTCGTCAACAGAACTCTGTTCCTGCATCTACTGTTTCTAATTCTTCTCAACCACCACAGTCAGTAACTGTGCCAAACTCTCGTCCTCTCAGCCAGGACGAGTTGATCCAACACTTGGCTAAGCAACAAGAGCAATTAGGAGAGCAGCAACATCTTTTGGCACAACAAATTTTACAACAACGTTTAGCAATTCTTACTCAGCATCCTATGCCTGTGAATGTTACACTCCCGTCTACTCAAAACCTTGGTTTCTCCACAATATTACATCAGGGACCAGTAGCTCAGCTTGGAAGATTCAATCAGGGAGTTATTCATGCAATACCGAACGTTGGACAAATAACACAGATGATCAAAACAACAGTACCTACCTCACAAAAAACAAGTGCTCCTGTAAGTTTGCCATCAAAAAACATAGTATGGACTTCACCGCCAAATGTGACTATTACAAGTCCTAATGGCTTACCTAGTAATGTTGCGCAAACTTTTGTTTCGGGTATAAGTGCTAAAACAAATAAAAAAAATAAAGTAAACCAGATAAATGATACATTCATTGATTTAACTGATTCAAATGATCCACCACCTTATGAGGCAACTATTTCATCACATGGAAAGTCACAACCTCCGCCTACTTACCCTTCACAGACTAGTACTAACACAGTTGTCACTGGAAAGTCTTGACAATAATTTTAATTCAAAATATTTATTTCTCAATTTTCCTTCTTTTCTGATAAAGGAAACAATTTTAAAAGATATTAATATTGCTGGGACCAAGTCCACTTCTATTTAGCTGATCAGAACCAAAGGTTCAGGGTGACTTATTAGTATGGGAACTTTGGGAAGGGGATGCTCTAGTGCCCTGTGTCAACAAATGTCTTTTCTCCTGAAACAATTTGCTAGATTTATTTCAAATTTGGTATGTAGCATCCTTTTTGGCAGTCTTGAGTAATTTTTTGGCTGTGTTTGATAAAAGGTCATAAGGTAGTAGGACACGGGGAGACTGATGTGTTTGCACTTTCCATCTTTACCTGTTACATTTTCAATAGACTTAAAGCATAGAACTAGTTCAATCACCAAAAAACAATGGTATAAGCTTAATCCTCTTAATATGTAATATGTTGTAAATTGGGTGTCGTAAGTTAGGACTGTTGAAACATTTTCTTTGAGACACAAAACATCATTAGTTTGTTGTCTTATCAAGTTTGGTAAAATAGATTTGGTTAGCTGCAAGTGCTAAAAAAATATATAAATATTGTCCAATGGATAGAACATTACCAAGTCTGGGTGGTAACATTTTTAGCTGGAGGAAGTGTCATGATCCACTTGTCATTGGTTAACTTTTTGATCATTTATGATCATTAACTTCAATATTAAAGAAACGTAAAGATTAAAACTTTATATGTTGATGCACCTTGATGAGTCGCACCGATTTTGAGGTCAAAAGGTCTAAGGGTACTGTCACCTGTAATAGGTTAAGATCCAATTTCTTGGAAACTGCTTAAGTTAATCAATTCAAACTTGTATACTTGTTCATTAACAACATATCACAAAGGCAGATATTCATGAAAATATATTTTGCAACATTATGGGCCTTTCATTCACATAGATTTTTGTGTCCTTGTTAACTTTTTTGTTAAGGTTAGTTTCTCTAAAACTATGAAAATTGGTATTGTTGTTCACTTTCCAAATTTGAATGCAATTTTAAAATGCAGATAACCCTGAAGGTAATTTTTGCTTGATTAATCTTCCTTTTTATATTTATTAATTTTCTGAAAATAAAAATCCTCAAAGATATTTTTTACAAACTTTAAATACTTTTTGCCTATCTAATCAGTCTTCATTTTTCTACTATGCTTTTATCATACTGTCAAGTACTCAGAAAAGTTGAGCACACTTCTCCTTGGATGCCTTTGTTCTTAAAATTACCCAAAATATTTAATTGGCTCCTGAAATGAATAACTAAATTAGTTTGTATAAACTTTACTTATTTTCTGGCTAGTCTAGGGAGATTAGTCAGCTTTTGAGGCAACTGTCATTTTTAGGTGAAGATCATTTAGGTTGACTGATTTGTTAAATAAGTCTCTGAAATAATCTTTTTAAGAAGATAGACTGATATAAGTTAACTTGAACTTGCTTATTGGGCAAGACACTAAAAGAAGCATTACTTCTTATTTTTTATGCCTTTTACATTGTAAATCAGAGAGTTCTATTTATTAGAAATCTTAGAAATTTAGTGCGACAAGTTTTATAAATTATCAAAAGATTAGGCCAACACATATCGAATAAATTGTTTACTTGTATTTCTATGACAGTAAATCATGTTATTTAACTTATAGTGACCTTTAAACAGAGTTTGTCATAACTTGCCATTTGTACCAAGCTGTTAATGTGGATAACAAATCTATCAAAAGGTATTTTTAGCTGTATATAAATGTTTTAGATTTAATGATTTCCATCCAAAGATTTTTGTTAGACCTTTTATTTATATGTTAATTGATGCATATTTGGATCTAATGAATTTGATAATTAAAGCATTAATTTGCATGCATTATGCTTGAATCATGTAACTGTAATTCTTAGTAACAAAATGATATTTTACTGTTATTATATATCAATAGATGTTGTGTACTATTACATTGTGTAATTAAGGGGTCGCTGGTACGATCCTCGAGCAAAGCTTTAATTTTTCAGCAATAGTTGATCTCTGATACTGAGTCTTATGATCATTTGTCTCTTGCTGCTGTTTGAGAAATTATGTGGGATTAGTAGTCCACTAATTTGTAATTGAGTTAGTTATCCCAGGAACAAACCACCCAGATCTGACAAAAAAAATTAAATATAGATTAAAACCAGACACAATAAGGACTATTTTGCAGAACTGTTAAATTTTTTTGACTCTTTTTTTATCTGTCTGCTACAGGGTATAAGCTTTCGTTGTCAGTCTGTCCATCTTTCACAAAACTTGTCTTGTCTACTCTTCAACTACTGGTGCAATTTTATTCAAATGTTTAGGTTGAATGAGTTTTTGCTGAGTTATGGTCCTTAAAAAAAGCATTTTTTGCCGGTGTCTCTTGTTACATGTAAATGGAACAAACTTTCTAAACACCCCTCAACACAACCGTTGAATTAGCTATCATCATTGGCTATCACAAATTCAACAAAATTACTTGTTTATTTCTATGACTACATTTTATCAATGTATATTTTACACTCTTATTAGACAGGAAGTTAATTAAAATTGGTCTGTAGTATTCTTATTAGTCCCAAACTGTTCACTGATATACCTTCATTCCATCACTTCCTGTCTGAAGAAATCTGAATCTAGTCTTAACTCAAAAAGAACAAATCCTAGGTTGATTATACTTGATATGTGTATAGAGGACCAGATGAAGATTAAAAATCTTTCATTGTGATTGCAATGGTTATGGAAGTGATGTAAAATGATGGAACAAATCTGGATCCTGTCATTAGTAAAAAAAAAAAAAGGACAAAAGTCAAATTTATGATACTTGGTATGTGGATTGAGGGCCATATGCATATTTTGCAAATTATAATTAATTTTTGTATCTTTCCATCTGTGTGTTTCATTCCGTCCTTGTGAAGAAATCTGGATCCTGCCATAACTCAAACAAAACAAGAGCTGGGTTGATGATGCTTTCCTGGGTGTGTTGATATAGATATTATGCATGTCATTTTAAGAAGACATGGTTTTTATGGTTATTTAAAAAGTAAAAATGAAATTTGACGCATAACTGAGATATGATAACTCATAAAGTTAACACTTGTTCCATGTATGTAAAAATTATATCAATTTCCTTAAAATTGCTCAAGCATGATTTCTTCCTAGTAATGTGTCAACTCTAAAATTTGAGACAAATTCTTAATGTCAATTCTACATTTATAAATGATTGTGGTAGGGTATTGTACAGTATTATACTGTTAGAAGACTGCTACATTGTCTTTAACAACTTCTTGTTGACAATAGAAACTTCAGATAACTTGACATACCATATGATTTGAGAAAATCATAATTTTTACCCTGGTGAACAATACAGGGTGATCATGTGATGCAGGGCCATTATGGCTCTCTTGTTAAATTGTTATGATATTTATTTAATTGAAATGATTTATCTTGTTTATTGTATCATGAATGTAGTTTCTAACTAGTTGTAAAACATTTGTTTCAGTGGAGAGGTCTATATATAATTGTGTCCTCTTGTCAGTCAATCTGACTGTCTTACACATTAAATTACAATTTTTAAATGTTATGTTGATTAAATTGATATTTAAATAGATAGCTATATGGAAATTACAAATGCTATTTTGTTGTTTATCTGATGACCAGACATGGCAAAATTATTGTAGCTTTTGTGACAGAAATAGTCAAATTTAGCCCATCCTGATATAAGTAAATAAAGTAGTTACAGTCACCTGAAAAAGATTTTAAAATTGAAATAAGTTTTTAGTAACCTACCAACTCATCTGCTGAGTAAATTTTGACTAATATACAGATAATACGAGTCAATCTGATTAAATAACTATCTGCTTCAAAAGTGTATTCTTCCAATGTTTCTATAAGTTAAACCCCTCTTTATCTAAAATCAGCTCCTAAATAATGCTAAGCATTACATGTAAAAAATAATTAGATCTGAACTTTAGTTAGATTGAGACACAAGTATTTTAAAGTTTGATGGAGACTGTCCTGATCAGAGTGTTGTCGACTTCATTTGAATGTCTTGTACAATCTGTACAATGTACCCCCAGAAATCACAAAATACTGAGAGGGCCGATTAAAGGACATAAATCTAAGAATGTTTACTCCAGATCACTATTTTCAACTGCAAGGAATAACGTTAAAACTGTGGTTCAAATGTTTAAACAAAATACACCTTTTTGAGAAAGAGACGAGTAAGTGTTCTGCTAAGGTTTGAAACTGGTAAAATGAACTAGTATTGATGTGGTGCCATTCAACTTCATAATATTTCTGATGTTGCATGGGATGGGTGTTCTGTAAATACCATCACAATGTTGTCTGGGTTTAGAAAGTGTAAATAGAGAAAGGGTGAAAAAGTTGCACATAAGTTTTCTGTAAACATCTTTATGAACCCGACATCTTGTGGAGTGGGCTGGAGCAAATATCTAAATATTGTATATCATAAATATTTATCCGACACAATTACAAGTATCAATTTTCATATGCACGATTTTAACACAAATGGAAGTATTACTAACTTTATAGTTAATCTTTAACTCGCTTAAAAAAAGCTGTACACAAAATGAGTTTATCTGAGGATAACTCGTAATTGAATCAAGAAATATGCCATAAAACAAAATGTTATAACTAATTTTATGCACACATGTAGTTCTTTGCAGTATATATATATGGCATACAGTGTTTTAGCCAATCGAGATTCTAGATTATGTATTTGACATGTCTGCATTGTACTTCAACAATGTTCATCATCCTATTTTTATTTTGGGTATGTTTAAAGATGTGCCACATTATCAAAATGTATATTGAAATGAAGACTGATGACAAAATCAATCAAAGCTAAACGTGGATCATTAGCAATTTATTAGTCCCCTACCGGTTTACCGGAGGGGACTTTAGGTTTTCCCTCCGTTCGTCTGTCTGTTCACAAAACTGGATCCCGCGATAACTTGAAAAGTACTGAAAATATTTTTATGAAACTTGATATATGGATAGATGGCAGTATGGAGATTATGCACGTCTTTTTCTTTTCTTCCTATGTTGAAAATTCTGGTTGCTATGGCAACAAAAAGACTGAAAATATGGCAAATTTACACATAAACTGGATCCAGTGTTAACGCAAAAAGTAATAGAAATATTTTTATGAAACTTGTAATATGGGTAGATGGCAGTCTGGAGATTATGCATCTCTTTTTCTTTTCTTCCTATGTTGAAAATTCTGGTTGCTATGGCAACACATAGACTGAAAATATGGCAAATTTTACACATAAACTGAATCCAGTGATAACTCAAAAAGTACTGGAAATATTTTTATGAAGCTTGACATATGGGTAGATGGCAGTCTGGAGATTATACATGAATATTGGTTGCCTTGGCAACAAATAGGCTTAAAACATGGCAAATATAACAATATTTGTGATTAGTCAAAGAGCTGAAATTTTTTTATGAAATTGCATCTTTAATTCAAGAGTTATCTCCTCTTTAAGAATTTTGCTTTTAAAAATGTTATATTTTGGTAACAGGGATGTTTCAAATATTAACTTTAAAGTGTCATTCAGTTTGTCTGGTTCATAAAAACTGTTTCCTGTGATCACTTTTAAAGAACTTTTCCAACAAATTTACTTAAAATACAGTGTATAGAAAAATTGAAACATTAGTGAATGGCCAACGGCCCTTCAGAATGTTGATGGGTTCTAACTGGTAGGGGACTTATGGATTGCTTGCAATACTATGATAATTGCTTGTTAATGTATACATGGAATTCTGAATACAAGACTGGTTGAGAACTTTAGAATTTTATTTCTTTCACTTATATACAATTTTTTGTATAACAAAAAATTATATTTTCAAACTGAAACTAAAACAATTTACAAAACATTATCTTGTTTTTACAGTAATAACATATCAAATTTTACATTCATAATCATCACAAACTTTACAAAATTTACAATGATTTAAAATAAAAAGAAACTCAATATAATTCACACTTCAGTGAGTTCTTTTAAACATATGATGAACACTTCTTATTGTCATTTCATTTAAAAGATTTGCTGAAGTAACTCGTCAAAATGGCTTCACTTATTCATACATTAATAAGTGACACTTGTGTGTCTGTTTCACTCACCTAAGTGAACAGAAAAAGTTGATAAAACTCGTACTAACATTGGCATAGCAGTTCAAAAAATATTTGATACAGTTGAAAAAACCTAGATGCAGGAGGTATGTAATGTATAAAGGATCTTTTTTGAAATTTTTAACTTGGGTGACCTACCCTAACCCTCAGAAAATGATAGATTTATTTAAAGTGCCAATATCGGACAATGTTGACTCATGGGCCATGCTTTAAACAAGTGTGGTAGAGGTTCAGATACAGGTACATAACAAGTACTAGGCTCTAGGCCTAGTAATTTTTTAGGAGCCATTACAAAATAAATGACCAGTATGAATTATCAGGGCCATACTTGAACAAAAATAAGAGGTTCATCAAAGAAATATTATTAAAAGAAACTGTCAAAAGCAACAGACATTGGACAAAATGCGATCACAACAGCTTACATCAGAGCTTGTGTGCTAAGTTGAACAACAAGAGGTATACACCTGAAGGCAAGTTTACAAGAAAGTAATACAGACAAAAATGTGCAAAATAGAAAGATAGCAAATTTATTGTTATATAATAACGGCATATCTCTATTAATAATGAGTTGACTCTAGTAAAAATGTAACTTGATCTGTGTTTTGATATAGCAAATTTACATGCCAAATATAAACACAATCAATGAAATCTTAAAGAAAAAATGCAAAAAAATATATATAATAATTTCACATTAAAATTTGCTTTAAAAAGGCATAACTCTATTTATAATGATTTGATTGCAGCTTGACAGAGTTTTGATATAACTTGTTTACATTACAGGCCAAACAAAACATAATCACTGATAACCTTCAAATGTTGTGCTACAGTAACCAATTGTCAACAGACAGACAACGCCATACCATAATGCTTATATAAATAAGGCTTAACTTTCTTAAAAATAACTTGTGTTTCATACATAAATTCTTTTAAAAAGTATCATTCTGTACTAGTTTTAAAAATATCAAAATAAATGCAAATTTCCATGACAAGTTTATTCAAATGTGCCCTTTGTTTCAGAGGAAATGATAGTCAAACAAATTGTGGATGATGGATCATTTGTTGACAGAAAGTCATCAAAAACAATGAAATCCCCTCCAAGCTCAACTAAAAAAACACCTTCATGCTCAGTTGAGCATTAAATGATCTGATGATATCACATATTCGTTTCACCATTTTTTGTCTTCATATCTATGTTGTATTATATTATTTATCAAGTGTATCTGCCTCGTCTTGTAGTTTCTGTTGTATATTAAGAGTTGCCTCTCTCTCTGCTTGCATCTTTTTCATTGCAACTTCCTGATCTATTCTTGCTATCTCAGTTAATATTGGTTTTCTTACTGAAATAATAAACAAAATAAATAGTTACTTTATGTTGAATAAACTTCCAACTACATGTATAAATAATGTAATATGTCTTGGGGCAAATCATTTTCTTAAATAAAATGAAATAACTAACACATTTTTTCATTCATTGACATTAGTGTTTCCTATTTTTTGTTTGTAAATACATGAATCCTTTCAGCACACATTATAAAGTCAAATAACCTTATAGAATGGATATAACATGGTTTTTAATATTTGTGCAGTGTTAGTTTTCTCATGTGATAAATAAATGATCTTCTAATGAGTAATGTACAAACCATATTTTAAATGCCTTAATACATGTATTAAATGGCCATGGTACTGGTCCAAGAAAGAAACTGACACCTAGGTAACATTTTATATATTTGTGAAGTCTGGTAAGTACCACATTCAATATAAGGGAAGCTTGGTAACTATTCTAATATGACTTTTTCATTCACATAATTATTTCAATCATTCATATAAGAGACAATGCAAGCTGCAAGACTTTTTGGTATGTATGTTTTTTTTTGTACATGTACATATTAATAGCAAATATATTAAGTCATTCTTCCAAACCTGTGGACAAAACAGCATGCTATCTTTATTATTGAAATTTATTTAAATTATTTCACAGATGTAATTAGCTAGAAATATACATGTAATTAGCTGGAAATATATTATACAGATATACATGTAATTAGCTGGAAATATCTATTATACAGATATACATGTAATTAGCTGGAAATATCTATTATACAGATATACATGTAATAAGCTATAAATATTTATTATACAGATATACATGTAATAAGCTGGAAATATCTATTATACAGATATACATGTAATTAGCTGGAAATATCTATTATACAGATATACATGTAATAAGCTGGAAATATCTATTATACAGATATACATGTAATTAGCTGGAAATATCTATTATACAGATATACATGTAATTAGTTGGAAATATCTATTATACAGATATACATGTAATTAGTTGGAAATATCTATTATACAGATATACATGTAATTAGCTGGAAATATCTATTATACAGATATACATGTAATTAGCTGGAAATATCTATTATACAGATATACATGTAATTAGCTGGAAATATCTATTATACAGATATACATGTAATAAGCTGGAAATATTTATTATACAGATATACATGTATTTAGTTGGAAATATCTATTATACAGATATACATGTAATAAGTTATAAATATTTATTATACAGATATACATGTAATAAGCTGGAAATATCTTATTATACAGATATACATGTAATTAGCTGGAAATATCTATTATACAGATATACATGTAATTAGCTGGAAATATCTATTATACAGATATACATGTAATTAGCTGGAAATATTTATTATACAGATATACATGTAATTAGCTGGAAATATCTATTATACAGATATACATGTAATAATCTGGAAATATTTATTGTACAGATATACATGTAATTAGCTGGAAATATTTATTATACAGATATACATGTATTTAGTTGGAAATATCTATTATACAGATATACATGTAATAAGCTGGAAATATTTATTATACAGATATACATGTAATTACCTGGAAATATCTATTATACAGATATACATGTAATAAGCTGGAAATATTTATTATACAGATATACATGTAATTAGCTGGAAATATCTATTATACAGATATACATGTATTTAGTTGGAAATATCTTTTATACAGATATACATGTAATAAGCTGGAAATATTTATTATACAGATATACATGTAATAAGCTGGAAATATCTATTATACAGATATACATGTAATTAGCTGGAAATATCTATTATACAGATATACATGTAATAAGCTTGAAATATTTATTATACAGATATACATGTAATTAGCTGGAAATATAGATCTATTATACAGATATACATGTAATAAGTTGGAAATATCTATTATACAGATATACATGTAATAAGCTGGAAATATTTATTATACAGATATACATGTAATTAGTTGGAAATATCTATTATACAGATATACATGTAATAAGCTGGAAATATCTATTATACAGATATACATGTAATTAGCTGGAAATATTTATTATACAGATATACATGTAATTAGCTGGAAATATCTATTATACAGATATACATGTAATTAATCTGGAAATATTTATTGTACAGATATACATGTAATTAGCTGGAAATATTTATTATACAGATATACATGTATTTTAGTTGGAAATATCTATTATACAGATATACATGTAATAAGCTGGAAATATTTTTATACAGATATACATGTAATTACCTGGAAATATCTATTATACAGATATACATGTAATAAGCTGGAAATATTATTATACAGATATACATGTAATTAGCTTGGAAATATCTATTATACAGATATACATGTATTTAGTTGGAAATATCTATTATACAGATATACATGTAATTAAGCTTGGAAATATTTATTATACAGATATACATGTAATAAGCTGGAAATATCTATTATACAGATATACATGTAATTAGCTGGAAATATCTATTATACAGATATACATGTAATAAGCTTGAAATATTTATTATACAGATATACATGTAATTAGCTGGAAATATAGATCTATTATACAGATATACATGTAATAAGTTGGAAATATCTATTATACAGATATACATGTAATAAGCTGGAAATATCTATTATACAGATATACATGTAATTAGCTGGAAATATCTATTATACAGATATACATGTAATTAGCTGGAAATATCTATTATACAGATATACATGTAATTAGTTGGAAATATCTATTATACAGATATACATGTAATAAGCTGGAAATATTTATTATACAGATATACATGTAATTTGTTGGAAATATCTATTATACTGATATACATGTAATTAGTTGGAAATATCTATTATACAGAAATACATGTTATTAGCTGGAAATATCTATTATACAGAAATACATGTTATTAGCTGGAAACATCTATTATACAGATATACATGTAATAAGCTGGAAATATCTATTATACAGATATACATGTTATTAGCTGGAAATATCTATTATTCTGATATATATGTAATTAGCTGGAAATATATATTATACAGATATACATGTAATTAGCTGGAAATATCTATTACCTCTCTGCTGGTGGTAAAAGTCAATGGCCATCCTAACACAAATTATAAAAGAACCTGATATAAGGACAAATACTGTACTTCGGTGTAACTTGTCATAAATTACATATCTATGTGGAAGTTTGAAGCGGAACCTGAAAAAGACATATAAAAGTTATTTAATGTTAGTGAGCTACATTGTATTAAGGTCGCTTACCATCTGCTGTTCTTTGTACTTCAAACAACATTTTCCTAATCTTGAACAATTAAGCCAATTTGGATGACTCATGACAGGAATGTCCCATGAATGAAATCTTATGATAAATAATTCTATTCTATACCCAAATAGGCAAACAGTGTTTATTATGCCCACGGAAGGATGGCAAATTAAAATTACACTTACACAACCAGGGCTTTTTTTCACAGGTTAGGGAAGCCCTTAATTTTTGGAAAAAATTACATGGTAAATTTGCAAAAAGGGAAGAAAAAACTTGATGTAAATTCAATTTATGGGGAAAACTGCATGATTTTAAAGTTTGCTTGGGGGGGGAGGGAAACAGCTCCTGATACTATAGAAGGAAAAAAAGCCAAGACAACATTTATGTCCGGACTGTCACTTTGTCATGCATTTAAGGATTTTAAAAACTTTGCACAAATGTCTACCAAATTAGTATGATCATATGTGTAGCGTCTTAAGACCAATGTCCCTATCTCAAAGGTCAAGGTCACACTTCATACACACACAGTTTAAAGGTTCAAATTCCTACAATTAGAGATTAATAGTACACACATGTGTGTCCAGCCTTGACTTTGTCATGCAAGGAAGGATTTTTAAATAACCTAGCATATATTTCAACCACATCAAGGCAACGTGTCGCGTCTAAGGCCCATGTCACTACCCAAAAGGTCAAGGTCACACTTAGAGGTTGAAGGTACACATTCATGTCCAGACTTTAACTTTGTCAAGCATTGAAGGATATCATTAAAAAAAACTTTGCACAAATGTTCTGTACACAAAATTATATGTCATGTGAAAAATCTGTGTCTCTACCTCAAAAGTCAAGGTCACATGACTGTAGCAATAGCTGAAAATGATTGCAGAGAAAATCAAAAGTGACCTGTATTTTGACAAAACATACTTTAATGCTAAAAATAAGTTACAGAATCATTGAAATCCTTCAGACTTGATCAAGACTTTAACTAATTTTCTATGGACAACAGTCAAAGCCATACCACAATATATACCTAAGTTTATTTCGGCATATAATAAGCAAATTTCAATTTATTGTTGAGGGTTTTCTGCTTTAGGCAGGTAAATTAAAAAAAAATATATATAATCTGAAAGAAGGGGAAACAAGAACTATCGCTGAATGCAATTCATACCCCCACCAATGTCCTTGACAGAAGACGACTTGGAAAGGTGGTTAAGGGAATAACTTTAGTGGCACAAATACATACACATAAAAAGAAATTATCTCTGGTGAAAAAAAGACAAATTGTACAGGTAATAGTATAATATATATTGTCAAATCATATTCACAGTTACAAATAACCTTTCATTTTCCCAATGTTTGTTAAAATTTAAGAATATTTTCTAAGTCAATGTTTGACCTTCAAGTGTGACCTTGACCTTAAGCCGGCAAAAGGGCAACATGGGTTCTGCATATAACCTTGTTGAGGTGAACATTTGAGTCAAGATTGAAGAAAATCTTTCAATTAGTGTAGGACTTACAGAGCGGACAGGACATATTGTCTAATATTTGATTGTTTGATATTTGACCTTCAATTGTGACCTTGAGCTGACACATGGGCAACATGGGTAATGCACATCCCCTTGTTGAGGTGAACATTTGAGCCAAGTTTGAAGAAAATCCTTCAATTGGTATAAGATTTATAGAGTGGGCACAATAATGGAGACGGACGGACAGACGGACTCAACAAAGCGAATCCATTATAGCCCCCCCCCCCCATTTTGTGGTGGGGGTATAAAATTATATTAAATATAGAAATGGGACCAAATTTCTGCCCCAAAATTTCATGAAATCATGGCATTTATAAGCTTTCATAGTTTAATTACTGATCCTGTAAATAACTGCATTCATGAAGTTTTAATATAGATAAAATATATTTTAAGTAAAAATCATAGAATGTGGGCCTTGATAATTATTTAAGTAGTCTTACCTATTCTCGTTTATATATTTCTTCTTTCCACTATCTGATGACATCTTTTAAAATCTGGAAGGCAAATAAAATTTAACTCAACAAACTATGAAACCACAACAAGAATCTGTGTTTGGTTAAAACATAATTATGTCCCTAGGTCTGATTCTTGTCCTCAACCAATTTGATAACAATTTCACAACAAGAGGGCCATGATGGCCCTGAAATTGCTCACCTGTATATAGGCCCCTGGGCCAAGGCCAATTTTTAACCAGGGGCTTTTATTTGAACAAACTTGGTAGACACCCATTAGAAGATGTTTCATGATTAATATATAAGCTCTAGCTCTTTGGGGTTTTTATAACAAGATTTTTTAAGTTTTTACTATATACATACTGGTCGGGGACCATCAACCGGACACTTTTTGAACATTTTCCGTACAGATTTCATAATTTTTAACCTAGAGATAAAAAAAATTGACACAGTTCGGCTAGGTTCTTCTCCTTACTAACAAACACGTTTGTTTATTTCTGATTGTATTACACTTATATCTGAGGCTCGTCAAGGGTATCAAAAAATTACCTAAATTGTCAACACTACAGTACCATGGTGTCCGGGACAGATATGTACATTGACGTTGATTTAATTCAGATTAAAAGCTTGGGTGCTTTGATTTTTGATTTGTAACACGATATACAATATATCTGCAACAAAAGCTTAAGTTTTGGACAGTGTTCAATCTAGAACAAATTCCCAGGGGGCCCTTTGGGCCCATAAACTTTTCAAAAGGGGGTCATTTGAGAAAAAAGGGGGCCCACCCCTTTAAAAATGAACAAAAAATTTCAAAAATAAATTTTTTTGAAATCTTTTTAAAATTTACTTGTTCCCCTAACCAAAATTAGCCCCCAAAAACGGGTATGCAAAATTCCCAAAACCACTAAAACCTAAAAAAAATTTAAAATTTAAAAGGCGTTGTACAGGCCTAAAAATTTTAAGAAACTATTTGGAAAGAAATTTGCAATGACAAAAATTTTCAAAGAAAAATTTTGAAAAATTTTTAAATTTTAATTTTTTTAAACCAGGATTTTGAAAAAAAAGTTCAGTTTTTTTTTTTAGGGCCCCATATAAAAAAAAATCATATTTTGAAATAGTTTGGTTATGAAGAATATAAACTTACAATAGTCGCTAAAAACATTTACCCTTCTCAAATATATCCAACGAAAAAAAAAGTGTCAACAGTGTGCTAAGACAATGTATATTGACATACCGGTACCTTTGATCTTTAGTCTGGGCAGCAGTTCTTACGTCACGCTTAAAAGATGTCTGTATGATTAATGATATTGCACCAATGTTTTAGCGCCGACCAGCCAAAAGACCAATCAAAGTTAATTTACCCTTAATTGTCAGACACTCCCTAGCCAATCGTGTTTGTTTGCTCCATCTTTAAGACTTTTTTAATTGGATGAAGGCGTGTTGCGTAATAATTTATGCACACTTCTCTTAAATTAACTCGCACTTTTCACAAAATAATATATATATTTTTTCCTTTGGAAAGTTAACATATTTATTTGTTTTGACCGTTGAAAAAAAACTATAAACTACACGCACGTTCATTGGGATTATCTGTGACAATTTGTTTTGACTTAAAAAAACTGGTGACTCAAAAGTAAGTAATAGTTACGGTACGAAGAACAAGTCTACATAGTATTTTACAGACGCGTACCGAGAGAGCGTAGCGATAAAGGTTTGAAATGGTTACCGAGTGCGGTTAAAACTATCTTACCAACATGCTCTGTTTTTCAATACAAACTTCAGTTTTGAATTCAGTATTTATTAATATTATTCACAAGAAACTTATCTTTTATGTACTTTAATCAGGTTTAAGAAGGCATTTCTAATGTCATTTAGCGGGCATTTTTATGAGTGCGCCCGTCGGGCCCACAGTTGATTTTGTTTGCGCCGGCGGCGCTTTTCAGGGGGTCATATGGCCGCAATGGCGCGCTGCTAGATTGAACACTGTTGGGATATTCTATTATTTCACTATGCAAATGAATTTATAGCTGGTTATTATGGAGGTCAGCATTGCTTTCTTGACCCCCGAAATTCAACGTCAACATTCTTGAAATAGACATTAAAATATAGTTTACCATTTACTGAGGTTGAAATAAATTTATTTACTTAATTTTAAAAGAAACATGCACTTATTGTTGATAATAAAGTGACTGACAACCACTGGACAAAGAAAATACTAAATTAAGCATTTTCGGGTTTGGTGGTCCCCAACCAGTATATCACATCTCAGACAACCTGCCAGTCTGAACCGGTGTCCCCCAGAACTCACGTCATGAAGCCCTGTTTGGTTCTGGCATATCAAAATTCATTTCAATGACAAGTCTGCCAGAAATGGCCAAAAGTAAAACAAGGCTATTTCCAGACTTTACTTTACATGACAATAATCAAAGGGCAATGAGACGCGAATATAGTCTACTCTACTGTACAAGTAGTCCTAATTATAAGACCTATACGTAACCTATTTCATATTTATCATTCATTAATCTGATATTTTACATTTTTCATTTTCCATGTTACGTTAGGTCTTAACAGATCTTTGCAAAATCGTGTAGCAAAAAAATTGACATTAGACAATCGATTTAGATCTATATGAATTTAAACAATTAAAACAGCGTGTATTTACATTATTTATGACCTATTTATGAACAAAACTAAAAAATAAATACCTTTTAACAAAATAATTAAACTGTCACATCCAAAAAATCATGATTAAGTCATCTCATTTAATTAAATTCCCTGTACAGCTGATATACAAATGGCCGCCATACAGTTCGCGAAATCTGATTGGCTAATTCAAATGCAAGCGTTTAAATGAGTACAGAAGTTTCTAACGGAATATTTTTTTCAACGAAATAATTGCCCATGCACCGTCAGTGTGTTCAAATATATTTTTTCCGTTCAAAAAATTCGAATCAATCTGTAAAGCGCTTTATTTATTAACCAGTATGGCCGATAGGCAAAATAGATTGATATTAATATTTTTATTTAAGTACATTGTTTAAGAGTTTTTGTTAATGATAGACCATGCAATTGAAAGAACAGAAGATAAGCTTTTGAATAAAGCTTCAAAGGCAAGTCAACAGACATTTTTTTAATTTTTCAAAATGCTACGCGTTTTTGAGCAATAACTATTAGACGTAAAGGCTTGACCAACATAAAACTATAACAAGCCTGTAACGTCTAATCTATTGGACTACTGTACAAGTGGTCATGGTGGTGCGAGTCGCTTTGGGGCGAATCGTTAGTTGCGCAATGTTACCGTTATACATGCAATTCCAAATGATCCTCGGGTATATTTTTCAAAATATTTCAGGTGCTCCTCTGTCACCACACAATTTTAACAACAAACTGCAGTTCAAAAAGATTAAGATTACAAAACAAATTTGACCTCAAAAGTGTAAGTAAGAAACATTTCAACCTAAAGTTGAGTAAAGTGCGTAAAGGACAAGCATGAGGCCTTCTTCACATTTTTACGCGAAAAAAATATTTATGCAAAAAATACTTCTATACTGTACTGTATGGCTTAATTGAGATAACACTAATGTCTTTCATACTTTGGGTGGGTTTATCATTTTGATAAAGTCTCAAGTTAAATATCATGTGGTCATTATACCTTGACATTCTTATATACACTAAATATCAGTAATGTACAGTAGGTTTTGCAGCTGTGTCCGAGTTCAATAGAATCATTAATGACAATCTGGAAACGGTACTCAATTCTCAACACTTAATAGTGCTGGCATCAAGAGCGGTACTCAATTCTCAACACTTATAGTGCTGGCATCATATATGAAGTACGGGGCAACTTTTTACAGCTGCCACACGACACTTGACACATGCTGTTGTGAAGTATAAAAATCTGGAAACAAAGTGATCCATCGAAAGCATTAATACTCAACAATATTAATAACCTCTTTATTTCACATATCCAAACATTTTGCCATAACTTTGTTACGCCAATTTAATATCAAAAAATTTTTACACCCGGAGAAAAAATAAAAAGGATAACAAGACAGTATAGCTACTGTAAAGACTAAAAATAACAATAAAAAAAGAAAGCAAGGCTAACTTGATCAGATTGTCTATTTTTAATTCCCGTCGCGTTATAATCAAGTGTGATTGCGCCGACGTACGATATAGATGTAATGAGAGTCCTTCAAGGCGAACGATATTAAACAAACAAACAGACAAAAAAAAACGAAAAAAAAAAAAAACAACAACTTTGCATGTACATTTTTGTTGTCTCTTACACATTACTAAATCGGTCTTAACATAAGTTATGGTCTGTTCGATATCGCTTGTAAAATTATGAGCAGTTATCTCCAAAAGAGGAAACAAAAGGTTTACTTGGTGATTTATAATATACCAGCCAGTTAATATGAAGCCCCTGATTTTTCAACATATTTATTAATGATAATATTTTATTACATCGAAAACCCACTCTTTATTATTATGCTAATGGTAATAATCTATGCTAATGGTAATAATCTGTCATTCTGACATAAAATGCTATAGTAATCAATTCTATCCTAGAGGATGAAAGTTGGTTTAAATCCAAACAAATGCAAGTACATGTATCAACTATTTGCATAAGCGATAATTAAATGTTTTCAAAGATTAAAGCAGCATACTTCAAGATTCTTGCTAATTTTCGTGAAAATTTTGAAAAGGTATTAAAAGCAAAATATTGTGAAGTGAACAAAGGAAGAAATTAACACATTGTAAATAGCACTAACAATACACCAAAATTACCAAAAAGAGGTAAAAATATTACGTTAGTAACGCAGTAGAATTATGGTGATAATAATACAAAATCAAGTCATAAATCGCACAAAATATGCAAATCATTCACTGAATCTTGAATCTTTTTACTTTTCTTAAAATCTGAATATTTTTTTTCAAGTTTGATTTTCTTGAAAATTTTTGGCTCATCTGTAGGTGTGAATTCCAAAATACTTTATTGATTTTGTAGATTATAATTCTTCATTTTAATAATTTTTTTTTATAAAAAATGTATTTTCTATTTTTTGCTTAATATGACTTAAAACTAATTTCATGTCAATATGTAGTTTATGCTGGTTTTCTTATTTTACATTGCTTTTTGTCCAGTAACGTGGCATTTCTGTAGGAAAACCAACACTGTAAAACTTGAAAAAAATACAGGGCTTTATGCATTGTTTTTAATCACTTCACTTCACGACATCATCATATTAATGTCATCTTGAAAAGCTTAACTTCCCACATTCCATTTAAGAAGATTTAAGTTAAAGACAATTGCCAATGTTTGTACAATATCTCAATATTGCCAATTTTGTTTTCAACTGCAAGTATGGTCATGTATGCTACAAATCCTGTAGCTATACAAACCACCAGGTATTGTCAGAACCCTTTCCATTTTGAGGTCTATAACAGCCTCCCTAGTGATATCAGAAGGGTAGAAAAATTCAAAAATTAGGGAGTTTCAAGCTGTCTCTTGATTCTAGGGGCTCACGCACCCAAGTAACATTGGGATATGTTGCCTTCTTTTTAAATTTGTCTTTTGACGTCTTGTCTGTGATATGCAGGCTTCTTAACCTCAGATCCCTATTCAAAATTCCATTTTATTTAGTTCCGTTCATTGGTTTCTCGTTTAGGGCACACGCATTCATTTACTGGCATGGGGAATTTCACCATTTTCATGTTTAAATGTTGAATTCAGCTTAAGCCCTTGCTAGGGGCCGTGGACGGTAACTTGCACTTTCCAGTACCGTCCATGAACAGGCTCAATCAAACCGAGTCTGCAACATTTTTAATTTTACCGTGTTGGGCTTTCTTTAGTGATTCCGTTTCTCTCTATTTTCCTAGTAATGTCTACTTACACTGGCAGCTAACTTCATACGAGCTATGTCGTGACGCCCAAAAATACGTAACCTCGAGCTGGAGACAAATGCGGACTTGTCGTCTTCAATGGTTTTTCAATACTCTGTCGATGTGCTAACAGACACGTACCGAGGAAGGAGAGTGGTTGATCAGATTGGATTCAGTGCAAACGTCGGCAGTTCATTAGTTACATGTAGTATGTAAGCTTGCACTTTCAAGTACCATTCTTGAACAGGCACATTCAAAATGAGCCCGCAACATTTTCGATTTTGCCGTTGTTAGCGTTCTTTAGAGATTACCTTTTCTCCATCTTCTTTAATTATTTTGCCTGATTTTCATTTTACGAATAAGCTGCTAGCCTGACTTTGTTTCGGTGGCATATACTTAACCAATTTTCTAAGTAACAGTGTTCAGACTTTTCTTTATAAGTAGCGAAAAGGTTGCCACCTGTCAGCATAACATGGTGATATGACTAATAATGTTAAGAAAATTTCTGATTCTATTGAACTTGTGCACAGCTACAAAATCCTTATAAGACTCGCGTCGTCCGATTTTATCAGTTTTCTCACAGTTGTCGTGTTATAAAAATAAAATGCATAGCTGAATAAATTCTTGTCTTTATTACCGTATCAGATTGTTCATTTCCGTAACACCAAATTATTACCGCATGTTTCATCTTTAAAATATATATAAATCGTATAAAAAGTACATATTATGAAGGTATATTTCATTGGTATGGTATTGCCTATCCATTTACTGAAATAGTATAAACTATCAGTGATCATTTGATTAAAAGTCAAAAGCTATTTCTTTTCATGTGTTAAGCACTTAATTGCTGTTGAACATTACCTTTTAATATTTGATGGGATAAATCATCAAACATGTAGGCCTACTTCTGAAAATTATGTATGAGCTACGTACAGTACAGTTTAAGAGTGTTACTAGTTAGTCTTAATATAGATAGATAAAACAAAACATACTTTTGTTTTAAGGTTTTTGGGATGCCTTAACTGACCCAAAAGCCCAAAGGGTGTATTTAGTACCTCATTAAACAGGGCTACATACTAGATAAATATATAAGAAACTTACAATGCTCCCGGGACAGACGAATAAGCTCGAAGGGACTGTTAACGCACCGACTTGTCTGGGGGGTGTAAGTCATGTTTTAATTCGCTTAAACCCGGGCTTTGGGGGCCGAACGGGAATTGCACTTTCAGTACCTTCCCTAAAAGGGCCAGTACAAACCGAGCCCGCAAAATTTTTAATTTTTTTTGTGTTGAAAAATTTTTTTAGGGATTCTGTTTTTTTCTACAGTATTCTATTGTAAATTTTACATGTAAGATTCCCGAATCAAATGTTTATTTTTTTTTTCCCCAAAAAAAAAGGAATTTTTTTCTGTATGATTATTTTTTTGGGAAGTATTTTTACGTGTGAATTACTGGTATAGAAAAAATATAAATTTCTTCATGCCCTCAAATTTTTTTGATAAAAAACAACACCTCATTTGTTAAAAATTTTTAACCCCAAAAAATTGAAAAGCCTTTTTTTCGGCCCTTTATTTATTTGGAAAAGGGGTTTTGGAGGGTCCCCCTTTCAATTTTTTAAAACAAATTGGGGGGGGCCCATGTGAACGCTTTTTTGTTATTTTTTGATAAAAAAACAATTTTTTTTAAAATTTTTATTTGAAACAAAAAAAATTGCCCCTTTAAAAGGGTTTTAATACTTTTTATCAATTTTCAAATTTTTTTTAAAAATTTTTAAAAAAACTCGTTAACTAATTATAAATAATGGGGCCACGGTTTTCCAAAAGGACCCATCATCCCTTTTCTTTTAAAAGGGTAAAAAACAAAAAATATGCCCCAAAATTTGGGCCCTAAACTCGCCCCGGGTTCCTGGGTTTTTCCAACACCCTCCCAGTAACTTTTTTTGGGGTCAAAAGTTTTCAAAAAATTTTTTAGTTAAGAAAAAAAAACATTTTTGTTTATTTTTAAACATTAAAACTAAATAAATTTAATGTATTCGCCCCCAAGGGATCCCGGTACCCCCACGGTACCGGTAAAACCCCCAAAACAAATCTCGCGATATTTTTTTTCAACACATCCCGAGTTTTTTATTTTTGACATCCCCCAGTAATTTTGGATTTCAAATTTTTTTAAACTTTTTTCAAGATTTTTTCTAAAAGGAAAATTTCACATATCCTATTTTTATTTTTTTTTACCACACCTATTTTCCCATTGCATAAATTAGCTTTTCTACAAAAAAATTTTTTTTTCCAAATGAAAATAAAAAATCCCCAAGGTTTGTCGCCCGGTCATTCAATCCCATTACATGTCACTTGTTTTTTGACAAAAATTTTTTGGGGGGAAAATATTAAAAAAATTGGAAACCCATTAAAGTTGCATTTAAAAAATAGTTTTATAAAAATTTAAAAAAGTCATTTTCATTCAATTTTTAAAAAGGGGGAGCCTGTGTAAAGGGGCCATATCGATATTTTTTTTCCCTTTCCATAAGAAAAAAAATTGATTCAATGATAAAAAAGGCCCCAGAAAATCC